ACTCTGCCTCCCCTCTAAACCCCCACAGTGGCTTCCCACACCGTTACACGACAATCCAATTTACTCCGGATCAGGCCCAGCCTCCCGGCTGTCCTGCCGTCCCCCTGCAGGGCCTCCCTGGCCTGCTTTCAACTCCTCAGAAACTCTCCGCTCCTACCTGCCCCCATCTGGGTCACACTCTTTTGTTACAGCATCTCACACAGCCACATCCCTCTCCTGTACAGCACTTACTCTCAGCTTGTATCGACATATCCATTATTGTCTCTCTTTGATTAGAGAACCTATCATCGCCGTGTCCCCAGTGGCAAACCCAGTGATATGGTTAAGTTGGTAAAACTTAAGGTGAAGTCTAGATGGATTTCCCAGTTTCTGTTGAGGGGGTCTAAGCTCTACAAATTGGTAAACTTGCATCGTTGCCACAAAAAGACCAAGCAAACCTCCACTGTACCTCTTGAGCAAATGGCTGCTTATCATGACAATGCAGTACACATGTAATAAATTCTATATTTACTATGCAAATTACATAGGCTAAAACTTTCTCTGGCTCAGTTGCTGAGGCCTCTGCCTCAAGAGTCTTCAAAGCCTCGCTCACCAACTCCTTAAAGTTCCTGAAGTGTAACTGTCACCAGGCCGCATCCGTCCTGTCCTTTCCCCTTGCTTTGCTCACCCAGTCCTCATGTCCACTGACCTCAAAACCTCCTGAAGGAACAATGCAATGGCCTTTATCAACAACACTCCCCTTGTGAGAGCCCAGTGAGATCAGGGCACTGGGGATCTCACTGGGATTGTGAGATGCCCAGTGTCCCCAATCCGGTTGGTTCCTAGGGTCCTGATGCAAGAGGCCTCCTCAAAATAAAGGAAGCGTTTGACCCAAGACACATGTAAATCTCAGCCCCTAGAGGCCAAAACTGTTTACAAAGTCCAACAAACAAACCAACACCAATAACAACAAAAATGTTTCAGTTCCAGCAATCAGCCAGGACATGTGAACTATGCATCGCCTTATTCAAAGGTTATAAAAATCCTATGAAGCCTGTGTTATGATCTCTGGAGAGTAGAAACACTGAAGCTCTGAGAAATTGAGGGACTCATTGATGTCACACAGCAGCAGGGCCACGATTCAAACCCTGGTCGAATGACTCTAGGTCTCAACCAGTATTCTGTACTGCAGGCCAAGGTTCGTACATTAATAAAAAGGGCTGGCATGGGAATTCGCATGCAGTTGATGTCAATTAGCCTTCCTGTGCCTGGTAGGCCATAGTCATTCTATAAAGGCCATATCTAAATGGGCTTGACTGAAGAAAAATCATTTATATAAAGACACACAGAATACACCCCTAAGTAAGTTTCGTCATTTAAATCTTTTAGCTTTATACATGCTCATGCTTCAGGCATTTTCTCCCAGGTCTGTATTTCTAAGTTATGTATTTCTCCAACTAACCACATAACCAACTAGCACCACCCGGGCAGGGCCTCCTTGTGGCAACACCCAAGGCCTGGGCTTCCCTTCAGCTGCCCTGGGACACTCCTTGGAGGATTCAGCACAGTCGTGTGGTGGTCATGTGGCCAAGCTAATACTTATTCTTAGTTTGGGGGAGTGTAGGAATGGACTGCTTGCCAGAATCCTGCCCTCATATTCCAGGTAACTGACCACAAGCTGTGGTCCATTCTATGCTGTTTATAGAGAGTGACGAAAATAGTTTCAGCCCTCTGAAAGGTATCTCTGTGCCACATGACCACTGCTGTCCTACCTGCAGACCTCAGGAAGCAGCAGGGCTGGGTCCTCACACAGACCCTGAGGCACTGTGTCACTCATGTGTGCACTACCTCCTGCTCCAGAGGCCCCCGGGGCCTGGGGAGGCACCACAGTAAGGCCTCCGGATAGGGGTTGAGGCAGAACCTAGTTATGGAAGGAAGAAGGTGGGAGCGTGGAAGCAGGGGGTAATAAGGTAAAACTGAACTCAGCTGTTGGAGTTGGGTAGAGAATCAGGGTAGGATCATGAGCATCTGATCTAAATCTTAGCCGTGAATGCCCCAGAGATTTATTGATCTCCAAGTCTGGGCAGGAGCTGAATCTGGGGGTGGGGAGATTAATGGACCCAGCTAAAGGGGCTGGAGTGTAGAGAGACTCTGCCCCTTTCTAGCTTACTTCATCTGTCTGGGCTTTTCCTTATCCGAAGGGATAGGTCTAGAAGAGCAACTCTTATGGCACGTGTGTGCCTTGGCATCACTTGGGAGCTGGTGAAGCTGAGGAGGCCTGGGCCTCTCCTTGCAGATTGATTCAGGAGGTCTGGGAGGATACAGAGGATCTGGGGGTGTCCCAGGTTCCCAGGAGCCACACCAGTGTTGGAGAGCCCCCATACGACATGATCCCCAAAGGGTCCTCCCACTCTCGCATCTCTGTGTTCTGAAGTTTACTACGTCAGGGAATCAGGGATAAGAAAGCATGGGAGGTAGGCATCCAGCTCATGTGATGATTGGGTGGCATCAGAACCAGACACTTTATATCAGTTACCTGTTGAGCTCTAAGAAATCATTAATTGAGAACTTGTTCAAAGCTACTTTTTTATTTCTAAGGCTGTAAACCTGGGCTCAAGCTTACCTCCTCCCATATTCTCTCTAGGTGATCTCTCCCTCTCCCACCATTTATTTGCCATCTTCCCCAGAGGTCATAAACTAGGGGCCAGAAAAACAAACTACACATATTTAGTCTGCTCAGTATTTTAGTCTGTCCAGTATTTTAGTCTGCCCAGTATTATATATAAGTCTGAATGTGTCTGGGGTCAGACTGGGCATTTGCTTTCCACTGACCACAGGCCCACCACACCAGCTGGCTTCCATCCCTTACTTTACCTGCCTACACCCTGATTTGAGATCAAAGTCCATCTCTCAACCCCTGTCTCCAGCTCAAACATCTTTCTGACTACCAGACCAGGTATCCGAATGCCTTCCAGCAAGTTAGTCCAGTTTGTGCACTTAACGGAAGGCCCGGGATGCAGCGCAGGGCTAAGTGAGTGATGTGTGTTACTATCTCCACTGTGCACCTCTTAGAATCTCACAGGCCCCTCACTTCAACTGGTTTAAAATGGAGCTCCTTGCTTTCCTCACTTTCACCGCAAGCCTCTCCTCCACATTCCCTCTCTCCACAAATGAAATCAGTAAGTCGCCTAGACTGGGAGACATCTGGGCTCTTCTGTCTCCTTGATTTCAGTTGGTCTTCAGAGCCCATGCAGAAATCTCCATTCCATCCAGGGTCCTCCATCTCTGCGGTCACCACCCTAGTCCAAGTCTTCTTTGCCAGGACTATGTAGTTGCCTAAATATTGTCCAGCACACAGTATTATCTCTGTCTAACCCATCATTCAGTTCTAACTCACAATGCTCATTTTATTTGATCTTTCCTCTCCCCTGCACACAATCCACTCAGTGCCTTCCCATTGCCTCAGGATAAAATGCAAATTCCTTAACCAGACCCTCCCTAGTCCAGCTTCTGCCTCTCTGGCCATTAAATGCCAGCCATCTGGGGCTTCTGTTATCTCTAGGATGTGCCCTGCTATCTGATCTCTGAGCCCTCACATTGCTATTCCTCCTCCTGGAAGACTCTTCCCCATACTATTCACTTGGGGAGTCCCTACATTGTCTTCGTGCCTCAGCTCAGCTGTCACTTCCTCGGGTCTTCCCAGATACCCTAGATCAAGTCAGGCCTCCTCCTTTGAGCCTGCAGAGCCCTGGGCTTCCCCCGGCGTAGCACTCACCGTACCACATTGTGAATGCACCCCCTTCTAGACCCAGGCTCCACAAGGGCAGGAACTCTCTTGTCTAGCTTGTTCATTGCTCTCTCTTCTGTGCCTGGCACATCCTTGTAACACAGGAGGTACACAATGAACGAGTGTTGAGGAAAAGAGGAAAGGAGGAGAAGAAGAAGCAAAAAGGGGAATAGGAACCAGAAAAGATCATGACTAACACCTTCTTCTTGCCAAAAGCAGTGAAACTGGAAACGATGGTCTTCATGCTGCCTGCCACCACCGGAACAAATAAGTAGGGACAAACATTGAAGTTGTATGGGCGCTCTATTCAGATGGCCTGCGATCTGAGAACATGGCATGTTATGTACCCTAAAAGACCATCTTACATCTCATCTCAAACCATCCCTTTTTTATAAGGAGGAGAATGTAGGTAAGGGGTTTAGAATTTGGAGAAAAAGTAGATCAGGGGACAGGTTAATCAGTCCTGTGATTTTCCTAGCATCCTTTCATCCGCTGGCCCAAGATTCTTTATCTGTGTCCTGGACTGCAGCCCTCCCTCCCTGGAACACAGTGGCTCAGATACCATCTTAATTGTTTGCAGTCCTTCTGGGACACAAAGGTAGTTTAATTGCTTGTGGGGATCTTGGAGTCCTGGCCATCCCTGTTCTTGGAACAACAGTTTTTATATGCATTAATTACTAAGCTTATTAACTATAACTTAAAGCTAAAAAAAATGTTCAACTCTTGAGTTCCCCCATCAGGAGGACAAGAGCTGACACATTCCACCATCCACCCCTCTAAAATTGGGAACTCCTGAGGACAGGAGTTCTCTGATTCAAAGTTGTATCCTCAGTAACTTATAACGAGCAGGTGTGCAGTGGAGGTTGTTGAATGAATGAATTCCTTCTAAGAACTTTTGACCAATGGTGTAACCAATGATATAACCAGCTAGAGAATTACTGTGTTTGTAATAGGACTTGAGCAACTACTTGATTTTTTTAGAGTATGTACAGATAAAAATTACAACTCTCTTAAAGATGAAACAATGGAAAAAATTCCCACCGAGTACCCTATTGTTACCACCAACCACATCAGATTAGGTTATGAACTTGCGATCAGGAATTCTCTATTGTCCAACCATGAATAAGCTGTCATTTAGCAGTTAAAGAAAATAACTCTGAAAGGCACAAAAACAGGTAAAGAAAATGCAATTCATCCACTAGACTAAAATGTAGATTTTGGCTTCACCATCTAGGAAGTCGGCATGGAAGACAGGATGTAAACTTCGGCCACAGAGAGCCTGGATTTGGGGCCCGGCCCACCGCTGACTGCGCACACATCCCTGGGAAAGGTGTTCGGCCTTTCCACTTATTTCCTCTTTAGGAAAATGGGAAAGATGAAACCTGCTTTGCTGGTTCGTGTTGTTGAAAACTGAATACAAAATGTAATGCACCCAGCATGGCCCTGGCTGCCGGGCGTTCATTGATGGCATTGTTTAAAAGTATCTCTGCTTCGTAATTATTTAAAGGTGCTCGGGCTGGGCTCAGGGGCACAAGGAGCCCAAGAAATTCTGCTCTCTCGGTGGGAGGAGGTGCTCTTTTTTGTTGTTGGTGGTGCCCTAGAAGAATGAGGAAAGTGATGGTCGAGAAATAGGAGAGCAAAGCAACAAAGCAGCAGGACAAATGCAAACAGGGGAATTTGGTTCACGCTGGATCTTGGAGTTTCCCTGGAGGGCAAGGCTTTTCTTGCCTGTTCCGCTTTCCCCTCTCCAGGCGTTCACCGGGAAGTCCCCCCACTGCCCGGCCCCACAACCCCCTGCACCTGGAGAGAGGGCGGGGCAACCAGAGGCAGGATCCTGAGGGTCTGGAGAAAGAGCCAGGTCCATCCAGCCTGCTCCTCTCTCCAGTGCTTTTTAAAAAGCTGAAGTTCATAGTCAGACATTTAAAAAATAACGCTTTTTCTTATTTTGGCAAATAAGATGTTTTGGCAAATAAGATGTAGGCAAAGCATGTTCACTTTAGAAAGTTCATGTAAGCAAAACAAAGACAACAAATTCCACTGCTAGATAGCTACTGAAATCATTTTGGAATCTATCCTTCCAAAGATTTTTTCCTGGGGAATAAGCACATAAACAAACACGTTCGTGTAAAACCAATGAGATCAAATGGCAGATTCTGTTCTGCAACCTGATCTTTTTCACTCAACAGCTTTCCATGTCAGTAAGTGCATGTATCTAATGTTGCCATGGGTGACTCAGGGGACACCCAGGGTGGCTGGTCACAGGCACTCACGGTGCCCTCCCTGGGCAGAGACTGGAAGCTTGTTTCTGTTCCCCTCTGTGAGCAGTGATTCCGGGAGCAACTCTGGCCAAACCTCTGTGCAACCCAGGACCATTCCCTTGTAGTGAATGCTCACATTGAATCTTAATTTTCTCAAAAAAAAAAAAAAGATAGGACAATTTGATTAAAATGTCTACATTGTGAATGGACTGCTTTGGCGAGGAGGAATCGGGAGAGGCTGTCACTTGGCGTCATGCTTTTCATTTCTGATTCTGTTCAACCCCCACACTTACCTCCAGTGCCATCTCAAGTCTAGTCAACAAACTTAAAAAATAAACAAAACACAGCGCCTGTCCCTAAAGAGATTACGAGCCAGGAGCAGAGATAAGAGACAATAACCATCTCTAACAAATCAAGGTTTTTTTTCCCCTCAAGTAACACAAAAGTACCCAGCTTTTCATGATAAGAAGCAACGACAAGTTGGACACAATACTATTAATAAGAGCCGATGTTTACGAGAACTTACTATGTCTAGGAACTGTTCGTATATTAAATGGAATATTGTATTATAGTCATCGTTTAATTCTCACAATCTATGAGGTAGTACTACAGTTGTGAACATTATATTGTTGTGAAAATGGAAGCAAGAGGAAGTTAAGTAACTTGCCCGAGGTAACCCGGCGAGTGGCTGCCTGGGCTGGGCTCAGATTCCAGGCTCTCGCCGTTGATGCTGCTGAGACGCAGTCATTGGGCTGGGAGGGAGCCTGCCCCTGACTGGAATAAGCATCGATTCAACCTTCCAGGTACTGTGGCCTGAAAACCGGCTTGCCGACGTGCCCCATGGTGGGGTTCATGGTGGACAATCAGTGCACCTTCCACTCACCTGTTGGCTTCCCGCAGGTCCCAGTGGCCGCTCTGGCCGTGGTGAAAGTGGGCCACTCCAGCGTGCACTATCGCCTTGCCGTTTCCTCCTAAGCCCACCCAGGAGCCGGCAACAGTAGACCACCGTGACCTCAGTGACGTCTTTTTCTTTGGTCACCCCAAGCTGACACAGTTTGATGCTTTGGCCTGTATCACGGGATCCTCCGTCCTTGTTTTTGTGAATCCAGCCACCAGCCAACAGGCCTTCCCGAAGACTTTGGGAGGGGCCTGCTGTGGCTGATGACGCTAGCTTCCATGTGACTTGTCTGTCCGTGGAATTGCGCCGGTCGGAGAATAAAGTTTAGATTATTCTTTCTATGATTTCTTTTCATTCCTTAGCCTGTATTTTTACCCTTAAAGTTGCTGGCAATGTCTGAAAAGTTTTTTATAACAGTGTCATCTAGCACCACTGATGAAGCCTCTCCTTGCCTCAGGCCCAGAGCGAAGTGCTTTTGCAAAGGCAGGGCCTTCCCTGCTCCCTCACAGCCGCCCAGTGAGGAAAGTGCCCCGCCTACTTCCTTTACAGAAGAGAAGCAGAGGTTTGCAGAGTGGAAGTAAATTGGCCTAAAGAGGTTCAGCCAGTGAGTCCCTTGGACTCTCAAGTCCACCTGGGCGAGCTCTCGACATTCATTTTAACCTCCAACACCTGAGCGGCAGGGCCACCTATTTCCTGTGCTTTTCAATCACTAATCTGATGTGACTCATGAAGTGTCCCCAGCTTCTTACAGTTAATAACCACATGAATTCTTTTTTTAAAGATGTGACTTTTTTTGAAAAAAAAAAACAACACACCTTTCTTTTATGTATTTAAAACAACAAATACACCGTTGACAGTTTTCTGATACATCGAAAACCTCCATCCGTCACTAATGCCATGCACTGAAGTTTGAACGTCAGGGCAAGTAAACAGAATCTTTGAGGCCGAAACACACGCGGCCCCGACTTTGGTATAATAATAAAAAGGGTTACTATTTATTGAGCACTCACTACACTAAGTGCTTTACGATCGTTACCTTACATAACCCTTACGTCGTCATTTTTCAGGTGAGAACATTGAGGCTTTAAAGAGAACAACTGGGGTTGGGGAAGGAGACTAGTCCCCTCTGCCCGGGCCCTGGGGCAGGGAAAGCTGCAGGTTCAATCTCTCCGGGCCTCAGTTTCCTCCCCTGGAAACTTGACCCTGAGTGACCTTTTCCAGTTGGATTCCTGAATCTTTTTTGAAGACCCGGAGACTCTTGATCCACTTTTTCTGAATTTAATTCCAAATCCCTGCCACATATAAATAGCTTTAGAACGCAGTCATCAGGATAAAAGACAAAGTTAAAAGCTATTCCTTTGCCATCTAATCCATTCAAGTTCACCTAGTGATAGATCGATTTTAAGGTTTTTAGAAACACTTCACACAATAATTCTGAAACTCACGAAGACTATTCGCCAGCAGCCTAGTGTTTGTAGGCATTGATTTGTCTGACCTCTGGCATCTGAACTGCTCAGAAATGCCGTGAAGGAGAACTCCTTTAATCTATGTCTCATGTTTCGGACCTTGAAATTCGTGCATGTGCATGATTGCACCTCGTCTTCGGAGCTGCTCCGAGAGTTGAGTATTATTATTAATTATTATTATTACTGTTATTCTCCCCACTGTACGGGGAGAACAGGCTCTTCTGCAGGAAGGTGGCCTGCCTCGGTCACAGGACTCCAGTGAGGCAGGCGCTAGAACTCGCATCCCACCAGGCTATGGGGCCCGTCTTTTCATGCCACCAACTCTGCATCTCACCCCAGAGGTCCCGAATTTTCAAATTACATCATACATTGCCATGGAGTTTTAAAATTGTAGTAACACTAGTGGTAGTTTTACCAAGAGGTTCTTAAATTGGAGGCAACATGGCAGGGCCCTCCTGGGTTTGTATCCTGGGTGTGCCACTCCTAAACAGGGGAACCACTATGCCCAGGACGGGGCTGCTTGTCCAGCATCATGGCAGGCTCCCCCCTAATACTGTGGGCTTGGGTGAGAGTAAAAATACAGAATGGTCTGTGAGTCACCCCACCGTTTTTTCCTACCAAGGGGCTCTATGTACGCGTGTGTGGACACCCCAAGCTGCATGTTCAAACTGAGTCACTGCTGCCCACTGGGCCCTTTGGGCCTGGGTGTGTGCCCATCTGTGGCTTTGCCCGCCCTTTGGAAATCTACCTGGGGGCTCACACACTGTCTCTGGAGGAGGTTTAGAGTTATTTTGGCAGGGAATTTTGGGATGCTACAGAAACTTGGAGCATGATATAAAAGCAAAGTTCCTGGCTCTGAGTCAGCAAACCCTCAACCCACTAACTCCTCAACCCATGAGGAAGAACCCAGTGGGAAGAGGAGCAGGGTGGGTCTCCAAATCCCAAATTGGGCAGGCAGCCCAGGATTCGGGGAGGTACTGATTAGTACTGCCCCCCCTTCTCTGGCGAAGATACTGTGGTCTGGACAATCAATTACATAGTCACCTAACTTATGAGTTCTATAACTTTGGGCATTGTTTCCCTTTAGAGTTCTCTCACCTGTAAAACGGGAAAAATAGTCCAGTTACCACAGGAGTGCTACTCACCAAGGTTTTCAACCTACCCTCCGGGCAATGGTAGGATGTGTTTCCTGCTCCTCGGATGTTAGATGTGGCCATGTGACTTGCTTTGACCAATGCAAGTGAGCATGAGAGACAGGCGTCACTTTCAGAAGTGACCACATTGCTTGCCGGTGTTTAATTCTCCAGTGGACATGGGTGGATGGGGAGACACACAGCTGAGCCCCCAAACTGCAGCTGCCATGGTCAATTGCCCAGAACTACAGCAGACTACAAAGGCAAAAATTAAACTGTTGCTTTAAACCACTGAGATGGCAACGCTGTTTGTTACCACAGCATAAGCCAGCTTCCTATCTTTCTTATAGGTACCAACAACTTCACAGGGGTGTTGTGAAGGTTATGTGAAAAATGTATGTACTTGGCATAGGGCCTGGTACACAGCTATTTGTATTTATCAAAGGAGAAAAGGAACCTTATATGTTCCCACTGCACAAATTTCAAGGTGGGAAAGTAACCAGTCCTGACACTCATTTCATTTCATGTGCTTCTGTGGGGAATCAGATGCTGTTTTCTCT